TCGTTATTCTCCACAATATTATACAGTTGAAACACGTACAAGAGCATGGTGCAGCGCAGGGTCTCCCACAGTCCGCGACCACAGACTTCTGTAGGTCACAGTCTGTGGCTATGACCCAACACAGGGGACGAAATAATGGCCGAACCTGAGAGAAAACTCTTCCCTTGGACGCAGTAGGAGCCAGGCTTTGGTTTAATGAGGCACTGGGATAAAACACAATTTTACCACTTTTAATTTAGTCTTTACTCACTGATGCCAGAGCGGCCCTAGTCTCCCACTGATTATCAGCTCATGTTTAGGGAAATCTCATTCACCAGTCACGTTGCTCCTTTTATGGTGAGGTGGAGGTGTGGAGAGGGCATGGTCTGTTCTTTTATGGTGAGGTGGAGGTGTGGAGAGGGCGTGGTCTGTTCTTTTATGGTGAGGTGGAGGTGTGGAGGGGGCGTGGTCTGTTCTTTTATGGTGAGGTGGAGGTGTGGAGAGGGCATGGTCTGTTCTTTTATGGTGAGGTGGAGGTGTGGAGGGGCGTGGTCTGTTCTTTTATGGTGAGGTGGAGGGTTAGGGTTATTTATGTATTTTTTTAAATAAATGAGGCCCTGGAGTTGTGCTTTGTTTCATTCACACATGTTTAACTAAGAAACACTGCAAATTTAGGCTGAGTTATTCTCAAACAGAAACACTCTGTTCCAACTTGTGATGTCAAGTGGTGATACAGGAAGTGCTCGGTTGTGTTTTTAAACTCCATACTTCTTCACTACAATCATTTGGATGATTTCAGTCATTGAGTTTCCAATCTCTACTGAACTAAAGGTAAAATATAGCTGTGACCTTGGATACTATCACTTCATGACATCACAAGGTGGAACAGAGCATGGCGAGCTTTGAAGCTGTACACAGACTAATAATAAAGAGTTACTCAAATGTGTGAATGAAACAAAGCACAACTCCAAGTCTGATTTTGAGGAGGGAACAACATTCTAACATGACTTAAAGTTCACAAGAGTCATTCTGTGTAATGTAGGATCTTAAGTTGTAAATACCAGGTTCCTCGACTTCATTGTGAACTTAGCCCTAGTGTGGACTTTACTCATAGATTATAGACCATGTGAAAATAGTTATAACCTCATTCACAGAAAAAGGTTCAGGACTTGGAGATTACAGCGCTGGATCTGAGGAAAAAATCACCAGGTAAGAAACTAAAATTTGAATGTAGACCAGTCTATGGAGAGACAGTTTTCAGTTATAATAGTTGGTAAGAAACTATCTACATTTACTTTAATTATGTGTACTTATAACAATTCTGTATTTAAGGGCAATTTCAGAAAATACTTATATATTAAATACATACTACACTATTTTCTGATCTATGGTATGTTTCCTCAAAAATAAATAAATAAATAAATAAAGTAAAATTACATTAAAAGTAGCTGTTAACAAGTTTGCATAATATAGGACGTTTAAGACATACATGAGGTAGGTTATGTCTGTCATTATTTTACTTTATTATACTTGAAAAGCGCATCGTGTAACTTTTCCGGTGCAGAGTCCATCACAGGCACGTGCACACATAGGGCCCTAAGGTGCTTGAGCCCTTTTTGCCTCCTGTTAAAAAGTGCCCTCTGTGTTTGTTTGTTTAATGTTTATTGAAGTAGGCTATTCCGTTTAACCATGTTAAGCTCCACCCATTTCCATAACGTGGCGGCTTCGAAAATCTAAGGCTGAACGTTCATATCATTCTGTTTAGATGATACTATGTTATAGTAACTTATGTTAGTAGATCTAGTTCCTAAAACAGAGCAGGCAAACCTTTTCTACAAGTTCTTTAACTGTTGAATCCAATATCACATGTTGTTTTCTGTTTACCTACATGACACACGACATTTCACTCTGACCACACGCACATCATGTGAATCTGCACAACAACAACGGGACAGGAAATCATGCACTAAATACAAAATAAAACACCAGGTTAATTTTCAAAATAAATGCACCGTGTTTATGGCAGATCATATTTCCCTCACTACAAGTCTGAAGTACAGCTCCCAGGTTTAGAGATAAAGTTTATTGTGGTTTATTGTGACTCTGCAACTACTGTCTATGTCAAAAAAAAAAAAAAAAAAATAATATATAATAATAATAATAAAATAAATAAATATAATATAATATATATATATATATATATATATATATATATATATATATATATATATATATATATATATATAATTAGCCACAGTATCAACATTGGTATCAGAACAGAAAGACTGGACATCTATCTATTTATCTAGTTATGTATCATTGGTTACTAGTGTATTACTAGTGTGTAGTGTACTAGTCAGTGTACTGTCATACTAGTGTATTTGTGAGCCAGTCTGGGGTGTATGTTTATCAAATATAAAAGTGGGTGGATCTTTTATTTATTGATCAATCATAATGTTTCGTTCCTCTGAGAGTTAGAAAGTGCATTGTTATGCTCATTGCTCCACACTGAAAGTTGTGAAAAGTGCTTATGAACTCACTGCGATCAAGAAAAAAGCAACTCCTGCAGATGCAGAAAGTTGGTCACCAAAGGACGTGCTTACTGCCATGGTAAAAGTGGCCAAATGTAGAAGGGGCTGACCAAGTGGCAGCAGAGCAGACCTCGTCCAGTGACGCCCCATGCAATAAAGCCCATGAAGCTGCTATCCCGCGAGTAGAATGGGCCTTGACATTCATCGGGAACTGGGACCATGCGCACATATACTTGATGAATCACATCAACAAGCCAATGTGACAGCCACTCTTTAGACGGGGGCTGTCCCAGCACCTCTCTCTCAAAACACAGAGCTGGTCTGTGGTCCTATGCCCAGTTGACCGAGTCAGGTAGACCTCCAAGGCCCTGACTGGACACACAAGCGACCACCTACGCTCAACACCCTCTTGGATAGAGAAGAGGCATCTGAGCTCCAAAACCAGCCAGCACCAACTTTAGGGAGAAATACTGGATTCAGACACAAAACAACACCAGACTCCTCAGGCAGGAACTTACAATGGTCCTGATGCACTGAGAGCATGGGACTCATTCACCATTTTGGCTGAAGCTAACACTGGCAAAAGCACAAAAGTCTTTGAAGACAACCACTTCAGGTCTGTTACCTCCTGGGGTTTGAAGCGAGCATTCTGCATGCCCCACAAAACCAGCTCCAGATCCCAGGAATGGAGGGGTGCCCTGACCTGCCTGCTGCGACACATCCTCACCCCTTTGAGAAACCCGGAGACCAGGTTGGACACATCCTTGAGCATCGTAATAGCAGCCACCATCCCCCTTAATGTGGATGGGGATCTGCCAGCCTCCAAGAATCTTTGCAAAACCTGCAGAATCTCTGGTGCTAAATATGTAAGAGGGTCGACTTGATGTTGCCCACACCACACCAGTATCCCTTGGTTGCTTGGTGGAACCTCCCTAACGGCTTCCTTCTCCAACAGAGCAATGAATCCTGACTGGAGCACCGCTGTGTTGTGAGTGCTCCTGAGTGATCATTATAGGAGTCACTGAGGTTGGAAGCCTTTGGGAAAACTGGATATGAACTCCCTGGGTCATGGTAGAGACAACCCAAGGGGATGCACCCAGTGCCCTCCAGAGAGACCAACACGCTTTGGTAGTTTGGAGGCAGACTGGAACTTTGCTGGCATCAGAACTGAGATGCTGGTTTGAGTTTGGGTTGACCCTCACTTTGGGCCCCTGACCCCTTGCTCCGTTCGTGGTGCAGGGCCTCGATGGTTGCCCGCAAATCTCCTGAGCCCCAGCTCTGTTGTTGCCCTGCCAGTGCATTAGGTCTGGGTGTAGGACCTGCATCCTGCCACCTGCGGTGCTTCACATGTACTCAGACACTTCACATGCACAGCGCCGAGTCTCCTGGGCATGTTGCAGAATCACTGTAACACCAGGGCCAAACATAGTCTGAGGATCCACTGGTAGTTTTAACAAGTCACTGAGCGATGGCTGGGAGAGTCATAGCTGCTGTCTTGACACCCAGAGACACTATGCTCCTTTCTGCCACTGCTTCTTGTTCCTTCATAATGTGGACCAGAACATTTTCACAGATATTTAACTAGTTGCTTTTCCAGTGAATACTGTTAGGTGTCGTTGCTGGATGTCACTAGATTATGACTCCTACCATTAGCTACTGCCTCATAGCCATACTTGTGTTTTGTTAACTCTGTTATTGACAGTATTGACAATGGACATGTCATTGATTATTGGTCCTGTCCCATACAGGGCAGGTTCCTCCTCCATCCTTCCTTCATTTCATCCATCCATTTGTCCATCTATCGCCTATACTCAACTGTCGGCCCGTCCACTCCATGGTCCGGCTGAACCCGATGGCCCGCTGCCCAAGGCCCTGAGCCTAAGCAATCATAATAACAACAATTAGCCTGCAGCCAACAGTAGCCTGCTCCCCACACGACACTTACACAGCAATAGCCATAAAGGACTCAGTCAACCCCCCCATTCATTACTCGCTCAGATTATAAACTCTCCTACTTCAAACATTTCCAAAATTTAACTGAACTTTGAGTCAAAATGTACAGTTGGTCATCCTATTTTTTACATTTTGTTCATAATGTAAATGTTGTGTATACTGTAAATATCCCGTCTGTCCTTTCAATACAGCTCACACCCTGCACCATATTACTGTCTCCTGGTTTTATGTTTTAAACTCTCTCATTTCCCTCCCTGAGCCGAACTAGATCTTCTGTCACTAGAATATACCTCATCTCCTATGTTATATCCACCAATCCTACATGCCACACTAGCACACCAATATAATATACAATATGATGCAGTTCATATAAGAGGAAGGATACTTTTTTGGAGAAAGAAGCATAACTTTCCACCAAAACACTAAACACACTTCTCATGCCCGTCCTCTACAGCCAGTTGCACTCCACAACCCCCCCTGTTGTGCTCCATAGTGCAAAGTCTCACGAGAGTGCAAACGCGGAAGTGCTGTGCCACTCAGACAGTGCGTGTTGTTGTGATTAGACCAGTGCAGAGTAGCACTTATATGGAGCGTAACACACAGCCGTCCTGCTCAGAGACAGAAGGCTGCCTCCCCCGCACAGGTTTGGGACAGCGCATTTTAAGATGTAGACAGATTAATGATAAAGAGTTCCTCAAACATGTGAATGAAACAAAACACAACTCCAGGTCTGTTTTTGAGGAGGGAACAACATAACAGCGTGACTTAAAGTTCACAAGAGTATGTTTTGTGTAATGTAGGACCTTTAAATTGTAAAGACCAGGTTTCTTGACTTCATTGTGAACATAGCCAGAGTGGACTTTGCTCATAGATTATAGACCTTATGAATACAGTGACAACTTTATTCATAGAAAAAGGTTTGGGGCGTGGGAACTACAGTGCTGGATCTGAGAAAAAAATCACCAGGTAAGAAAATGTAGTCCAGTCTATGGTGTGACAGTTTTGTATCAAAGGTGGTAAGAAACTATTTATATTTACTTTAATTATGCGTACTTATATCAATTCTGTATTGAAGGGCAATTTCAGAAAATACTTATTACACTATTTACACTATTTCGTGGTCTATGTTATGTTTTTTCATAAAAAAAATAATAAAAAAAAACTCTCCCAAACTCTCTTGGCCTATCTGAACATGCAATATTATTCATCTTAGAGCTAGAGAATAAACTGTTTAAGGTTGTTTAATGTTCATATCATTCTGTTTAGATGATACTATGTTATAGTAGCTTATGTTAGTAGATCTAGTTCCTAAAACAGAGCAGGCAAACCTTTTCTACAAGTTGTTTAACTGTTGAATCCAATATCACACGTTGTTTTCTGTTTACCTACATGACACACGTCATTTCACTCTGACCACACGCACATCACGTGAAACTGCACAACAGCGGGACAGGAAATCATGCACTAAATACAAAATAAAACACCAGGTTAATTTTCAAAATAAGTGCACCGTGTTTATGGCAGATCATATTTCCCTCACTACAAGTCTGAAGTACAGCTCCCAGGTTTAGAGATAAAGTTTATTGTGACTCTTCAACTACTGTCCATGCCAACAAAATAATAATAATAATAATAATAATAATAATAATAATAATTTGGTAAGTTCCACTTTCTGGGGATATAACCATCTGTATTATTATAAATAGCCTAATAATAAACCAGTGTTTTATTACTTTGCGTGTCTGCCAAGCCTATGATAATGTGAATGAACTCACATTGACAGTAATTTGTTGACACAAAACAAATTGCAATTGCATATCACTTTGATCAAACATCGTGACAGACAATACATGCATGTCTGTGTAATCAATCAGTTGTCCAGGTAGGATCCATAGCAAAAGAAAAATGTAATTCTGTCAACTGAACAAATTTGCTATCGATCTGTAGAAAAAAAAAAAAAACAACATTTTCTTTTTTTTTTTTTTTTTTTGTAGGACTCTCAAAACTCTTTTTTACTAACAGTTGGCTGTAGTAGCCCCAAGCCTGAAATGATACTAAAACTAATCTTGATTGGTATCTGGTTTTTGATACTTTTGAAAACCCTGGGGTAGGACTGCTCGATTATGGAAAAAAATCATTATCAGGATAATTTTGGTCAATATTGAAATCATGATTATTCAAACGATTATTTTTTTGTTACACGATGACAATAATCACATGGCACTATTTGTTTACATGTCACGCAACAGAGCCAACGCTTTAGCAAAGAAAATAAGTCCAGCGGAAGAAATGTGTATTAAATAGTGAGGCAGATATGAGTTCTGCTACGGTGCGCTCCTCTGAGAGTTTATGGATATAATCAGTACTGTAGATCCACATTACACACTATGTGAAGGGCAACAAGTGCTTGCTCAGGCACAACATGAATCCTTACAAAATCATCGTGTCCCGGTCCTCACTTTCACTGGCCTCTCGCCGGCACGTAAATCATTTCAACTTAACTATATGAGTTTGGAAATGTTTTGACACACAAATCAAAATTGCAATCAAAATTCAATTCATTCCACAGCCTTACCTTAGGGTACAGTATAAATGTCGTACTGTATTTTTCACTGTGGGAGCATCTAATACCTTATTTTTTTCTGATTTTCTTCTTAGAATGTGGACCCCCCTCTCCCTCACCTTGTGCGTCCTGTCTGCTGTGCTGCTTGGATGCCCTGGTGGCGACAGCAGCAGGATTCTGGTGGTCCCGGTAGATGGCAGTCATTGGCTCAACATGGAGCTCATCCTAAGACAGCTACACGCCAGAGGCCATGAAATTACCGTGCTCCACTCTGCAAAGAGCTGGTACATCCCCCAAAACTCCACTATGTACACCTCCATCACCATACGTATGCTGGAGGACGAGGATGACTTGGATGTTTACAACAGAATGATTTTAGATATCATGGAATGTCGTAAGAAGTCACAGTTAATTAGTTCCTTCTGTCACAAGTACGTTCTCACCAAACGGTTTTGGGAGGGTTACAAGATTATTGCCGATTCCACCGCATTTCTTTTGGATGATCCAGTCTTTATGAAAAAGATGTACGACGGTAAATTTGACCTGATGTTAACAGACCCTTGTTTGCCCCATGGTGCAATCCTCGGAAGCTACCTCAAGTTACCGATGGTTTTCAATGTTCGCTGGATAAACACTGGTGAGACCCATTTCACGATGGCACCTTCACCTTCTTCTTACGTTCCGTTGACAGGAACGGAACTTACAGACAAGATGGACTTCATGGACAGAGTGAAAAATGTCTTATTCCAGATATTCACCGAAATAGAGATGCAGTTTCTCGTCTACCCGGCGTATTCCGATCTCATGGCGCGACACTTCCCTCCTGGTTCTGACTTGTTGTCTTTACTGCTCTCTGCGGACATCTGGTTGGTGAGAGCGGATTTTGTCTTTGAGTTCCCACGTCCGACTATGCCCAACGTGGTCTACATCGGTGGGTTCCAGTGCCAAGAACCCTCTCCCCTCCCGGATGAGTTGGAAAAGTTTGTTGAAAGTTCCGGCGAACATGGAGTCATTATAATGTCCATAGGAACTTTCTTGTCAGCCTTACCTCGAAAAACAACCGAGGCCATCGCAGCGGCATTTGCGGAACTCCCACAAAAAGTCATATGGAGGTACAGTGGACAACCACTAACCTCTTTGGGTAACAACACTTTACTGGTGAAATGGTTACCTCAAAACGATCTCCTCGGACACCCCAAAACTCGTGTGTTCGTAACCCATGGAGGCACCAATGGTATGTACGAAGCCATCTACCACGGCGTTCCTGTAGTAGGTTTGCCGTTGCTCTTTGACCAGTTTGATAACGTGGTCCGGATGCAGGCGCGTGGGGCTGCCAGGATAGTGGAGGCAAACTCCATCACCAAGGAGTCCTTCCTGGAAGCGGTTAAGGACGTTGTAGAGAATCCGTCGTACCGTGAAAATATTCAGCGTCTTTCAAAATTGCATCATGACAAGCCAATGACTCCAATGGACACAGCCTTGTTTTGGATTGAGTACGTGATTAGAAATAAAGGCGTGCCCCATCTTCAGGCGGTGGGCTACAGCTTGCCGTGGTATTCCTACTTTTGTTTAGACGTAGCTGCGTTTTTGTTAGCCATCGTAGTTGCCGTGGTTTGGTTTTCTATGTTTTGTTGTAGATTACTCTGCTGCAGGAGATCCAAGAGGAAGTTAAAAGGAGAATGAACAAAACTAGAATTGGTATTCTATGCTGTGATATACTTTCAAGTTTCCAAATAAAGATTCTTTTTGACAGACCAGTGCGTTTTTTACTCATATCTTTTCTTGGATATTATGTTGAAATTCTATATGAAACTCTCTGAAGTAGATTTACCTAGATATCTATTTATCAGGGATACACCAATACAATACTGGTATCGAATGATGGATAATCGGATAACCAATATTTGAACATGTATTTCGTCAGATATCGGTTCCAAGATATCACTTCAGTCGATATCTCATTTGAGCTATAAATTGTTGGCCCAGAACACCAAGTGGAAATGAGCATTTTGAGCTTTAGAGATGTAGACAGTCAATAATAAAGGATTACTCAAACGTGTGAATGAAACAAAACACAACTCTGTGTAGGTTTTTGAGGTGCTAACAGCACTCCAACATAGCTTAAAGTTCACACAGTCAGTTTTGTGTGATACAGTCGTCCCTGGCTATATCGCGGGTCACCTTTCGCAGTCCCACTGTTTTGCTGATTTATTTATTTATTTTATTTTTTTTTTACAGTGTATGAACGTGCATTGCCTGCATTCTGATTGGCTAAGGGACTGTAGACTATTGTCAATCAATCTCCTATGTGTCGAGTTTCCTGTACAGTACAGAATGTATTCAGCCAAATTTAAATAAATGTTTGATCTCTAGCAGTGTGATTCTGAAGTGTCGATGAAACGTTCTGCACCGACAAAGGCTCCTGCAGTTGCACCCAAAAGGCAGAGGAAGATGTAACCATCACACAAAAAGTTGGACTTCTGGACACACTGAAAGAAGGTAGAAGTTACGCACTGTAGCAGAGTCCTGCACCGGGTCGGGTACCCGCGGGCAAATAAGTTGCTGAAACGGGCGGGTTTTAACGTTCTGGAATTTTACGGATAGGTATGCAGACGGGTAATGATTACATACGGGCGGGTCAGGACTAAACCAGGACTAAACTAGGTCTAAAGCAGGACTAATCTTGGACTTAAGAGAGAGAACCCCGAGTCCGTGGAGCAACGGCTGCGCATACCTCTGTGAGGCAGGGAGCTCTGCGCCAGTCCTTTCTCCTACGGTCACCTCCGAGCCCGTCCTGACAGTGAGTCCTGTTTCAGTCCTGGTTTAGTCCTGGTTTACTCCTGTTTTAGACCTAGTTCACTCCTGGCTAAGTCCTCCTCTTCAGTCGTGGAATCAGTCCTAGGTTAGTCCTGGTTGCAAAAAGGATGCAAAAAGGGTTAACTGTCCTGTCAGAGAAAAGTGTATAAAGGTTGAGCTGAGGGGTTTTTCAGCCTTAAAACAAATATAACAATTGTAAAATATAAAGTTGACTACTTTGCGGATTTCACCTATCGCATGTTATTTTTAGAATATAACTCCTGCGATAAATGAGGGACCACTGTATAGGACCTTTAATACCTGTCAGTAATCAGCCAATCAACCAATACAGAGTAAAACATGTTGTAATAATATGACACTTGTAACCAAACTCCAGTACTTGATGTTACTTATCCACAGCCCCACAAATCCCTGTTATCCTGCAAAACAAAGCAGTTGTCAAGCTCCAGGAGTGTATTAAAACCCAGAACTATTGAAACAGACCGGCATTGTTTTCTCTGATGTCTGACTTTTTTTCCCATAAATCAGCCCGTGACATTTAAAGGGAAGTGGGGAGAGTGATAAGACCTCCTCCCTCTGGAACCAAGTGCAAAAATACAGCCCCGCACCCATTGTCTCCAAGTTATCCAGGAGTTGGAATCACACCAGCCAACCTGTGGGTCAGTCGATCTGACCACACAACCATTGATGTTTTATGTTAAGAGCAGGATTCGAACCGCCAACCTTTGGATCAATGGACAAACACTCTGAACTGCGATTGCCCGTTATATTAATTTACATAATGACAGTTTGAGAGAAACGTAAAGACAGACGGAGAGAAATCTTTCCACTATATAAATGTCCATCACACTCTTTATATCTTTATATCATGCCTTGTTTGGTATAAAAGTAGACTGTAAATTATAATCAATTCCTTTTACATTTTCATGGGTAAAAACTAATGCACAAGCTGCTCACATGTGACTTTTTTTTTCTTTTATGGCCAATTTAAGGTCACATATTACACAAAATGGATTCTTGTGAGTTTTAGAATGCTGTTACCTCCTCAAAAACAGACTTGGAATTATGTTTTGTTTCATTCTCACATGTTTAGTTATGTTATTAATCTGTCTACATCTCCAAAGCTTGAAATGCTCGGTTCACCTTGTGATGTCATGAAGTGGTAGCTTTCAAGTTAACAGTTAACACAGAACTCCAGGTATGACTTGTTTATAGACAATAGTATAATATGGGCAGTGATGCGAAGAATACTTTGAAAATGGATTTTAATTCCAAAATACTGATCTCCTGCATTAAAAAAGTATTTTGTAATGTACTATGAACACAGTGACAGGTCAGAGTACTGTATTCTGAATACTTAAAATACTTTTACACAGATTTGCATTTACATGATAGTGTAAAGATCAAACATAGTACTAAAAACAGCTTTATTTATGTCCCACTGTTTTTAACTCTTTCCCCCATGAAGACATTTGACGACCCCCCTGAACCCTTAATGACGACTTTTGACACCTCCGCCTTATCACTAAAGACGAGATTTGACGACCTTTAGAAATGGCTCGTTTTTTTTTTTCACATGTAAACAGAGACTGTGATAGGTGGGGGCCACTACAACCCACACTAGACTGACCAATAGGATTCAAGGATATGTTTTCGCCGATTTTTTCCGAAGTTAATCGAAATAGTGACGATGGTAGCTTCCGGAAAAAACACAACACGAAACACGTGCAATGGAAAGATCGCGGCGCTGCGGCGCACAGTTTTAGAAATAATGAGGAGCGGACGTATTTTATGGATAAGTTTAGAGAAAGTGACTTTTATAGATTTCAAAGTGATGATGTTGAAGTTGATTATAGAAAAGTGGAAAACAGCGATAGCGACGGACTTTTGGGGAGAAGATGAGAATGCCGCTGATGCGTCTGTGTGGAGTCCTGCGATATCCGAACAAACTATCTGAGCTTTATACTCGATTATGAACCAAAATTGCCCTGAAATCTGGATGTTGCCCAGGCCAGTGCTTTAAAATATTTCAGTCTTTTTTTCCAAGATGCGATGTATAACAGAATCGCTACAGAAAAAAAGCTTATGCGGAGCTCTGCGCACGAGAAAATAGCCAAGATGACAAATACTGGACACACACTGACGGGGAAGAGTTTTATTATTGTATTATTATATTATAATAAGCTAAATTAGTTGAATAAGCTAAATGAGTTGAATAAGTTAAATGGAATTGGGGTGCACACAGGTGTACAACAGGTAAAAACAGGTGCACACTTGGCTATACTGTATCTGGTGATATGAAATCTGTTTAAATACTTTGACAAAGTATATATTTTTTATTTTTTTATGAATATAGTACTCAGAACATGCAGATATCAGATGCTGAATGTAGTTTTTTGTTTTCGAGTTTGCACCTGACCAGGTAAACTCTCATTTTCAGTGAGCTGTTATGCACCTATAAATGAGTTGAATCACATTTAAACATCCATAAATGAAGAGTTCAGAGTCTAAGGTTTCCAGAGATACAAATATGTCTGTGTTAAAATCATTTATTATCACTCGTGGAAGTCTGTTTTCTTTTATGCAATTATGCTCTATGGGCAGAACTAGTAACATATGTATGGGTTGTTCCTAGTAGGCGTCCAGGGGGGAAAGAGTTAAAGCATTTCTATCACTGAATGGGGATGGAAAAATGTTCTCTTTTTCTCACTGATTCTGTGCAGTTTGAAGCTGAAATGAGCTCATCAGGTCATTTGTGTACACCTTTGATTTAAGAGAAGTAACTATTAGTAGCACTATATACTACTGAATACCACCAAATGAAAGAGGAACTATACCAGAGTACAGATACTCAGAAGGAGTTTTCAGAAGAACTATTCTCAGTACATGTGATCAGTGACGTGTGATGAGGTTTACAGCTGCCGAGCCAAAGTGCAGAAGGCTCTAAAATGTTTATGGACACAGAGCTGCTTCTATGATCTTTACCAACACACAAGAAACGGGCTTACGAATAAAACACTGAGCTTTAAATCATTATTGTGTTTAGAATGAAAAGGGAAGAAAAATAAATATGTAAATTACAGAGCAGGTCTTGAACCCAGATCCTCCACAAACAGGATGATATGACGCACTGTCTCACTTGACTCACATGTGACTGTGTATTCTGAAAATTCGCCATTTAAAGAGATAGTATGTCACTTTCTGGGAATGGAAATTCAACTGTATGGTTTCACAGAAAAAAAAAAAAACAAAAAAAAAACTTTGCACATCAGGTTTTTTTTAAACACTTGTAATGAAGGACATGGAGCAGCCCATAAAACATTCTACATTATGTCCTAACTAAATTCACAATTCTGTTCATGGAAACAAGCAGAACGAGATGCTCCTCCAGGCCAAGGAAGAGTCAGGTTTGTGGAAATACAAGTCCGCTCACAGAAAGGACACGTGTTTCACAACAATAAAATCCTCCATACTAAAATAACATAGTTTTATTTTTAGCAAAAAAGGTACATGTTAGCGCTTTAAGCAGAAGATCCTGGGAAACCAACGTCCTGACACTATTCCAGACACTAGTTGCTCTGTCACGGTGCACAATGCTCTGTCTGAGGCTCTGTCTGAGGCTCTGTCTGAGGCTCTGTCTGAGGCTCTGTCTGAGGCTCTGTCTGAGGCTCTGTCTGAGGCTGTGTTAGACTTTAATCTGAGTTTTGTTTTAACACAATCTGAAAAAGAACTGACTTGAACTACAACAGGTGATTTGATTCTTACAGTTATGCTGGACATACACTGTGTGATATTTTAGATCTTTTCCCTCAGAGATGACTGGATTTCAAACAGGTTTGATATTCTTGCGACCTACGATTCCCAGTCTGGAGCTGGTCGAGAAGTATTAAACCATTACTCCATGTTTACTACACAAAGCACGACACATGATAAAGCC